CTTCACAGCTCAAATGATACCATCAAACATAAACAGCCTCAACTCAACACTCATTTCTCTTTGAAGCTAATTCTCTTCTCTTGCTAGCTCTGTCTACAATCTCACCATATCAAAATGCCTTTTTCTTCTTCTTGTTCTAAGGTCTCAATGGTGCTTGTGGTTTCTTTGTTTGTAACTTCTCTGATGGCCATGACTGCCTCAGCTGGTAATTTCTTTCAAGATATTGATGTAACATTCGGCGATGAGCGCGCTAAGATACTAAACGGAGGACAGCTTCTCACACTTAACCTTGACAAGGCTTCTGGGTCTGGTTTCAAATCCAAAAATGAGTACTTGTTTGGAAGAATTGACATGCAGATCAAGTTGGTCTCTGGCAACTCAGCTGGCACTGTCACTGCATACTACGTAAGTGTTAACTCCTCAACCTTCTTCCAATGTGATTAAGATATATAAGACTAGTCTTAATTTGTCCTTATATTTTCATTTTTATACATTTTAATTGTTGCATTGCTAATTTATGAAATGAAACACATGAATGTATACAGTTATCTTCTGAGGGTCCAACTCATGATGAGATTGACTTTGAGTTTTTGGGAAACTTATCTGGAGATCCCTACACTCTCCACACAAACGTGTTCAGCCAAGGAAAAGGAAACAGAGAACAACAATTCCATCTCTGGTTTGATCCCACAAAGGCCTTCCACACCTATTCAATTGTCTGGAACAGCCAGAGGATTATGTAAGTAACACTCACCACCTTATTGAATTAGTATGATTTCTATAAAACGCTTAACATAATTAACCTCCGCTAATTAATTACTTAAACAAATTACTGAAACATATGCAACTGGTTTTGTCTATGCAGATTCTTAGTGGACAACATTCCAATCAGAGTGTTCACCAACTTGGAAACAATTGGAGTTCCATTTCCCAAAAACCAACCCATGAGGATTTACTCAAGCCTCTGGAATGCTGATGACTGGGCAACAAGAGGTGGACTTGTGAAGACTGACTGGACAAAAGCTCCTTTCACTGCCTCTTACAGAAACTTCCAGGCCTCCACCACATCTACTAACTCCTTAACAGAGCAGAGTGCATGGCAGACTCAAGGGCTTGATTCTGAAGGCCGAAACCGGCTTCGATGGGTGCAACAAAAGTTCATGGTCTACAACTACTGTTCTGACCTCAAACGCTTCCCACAAGGCCTCCCAGTTGAATGCAGACGATCGAGGTTCTAGTTTGAAACAGAGAACAGAACCCAGATGATCACATATCCCCAGTTCTCTTGTGCAGCATTCATTTTTTGTGTTACTTATTTTCAATTATGAAATATTCTTTCATTCATTATGCAAATAGAAATTTTGTAACAAATTATTAACAAGTCGATTTTTTTAATTCTCCTGGTTTTTTTTGTATGCTTGAACTGAAATGAATTTTTGAACCAAATTTTAATAGTGATCACATGATAATGGTTCAATATCATCTAAGATGGCTAGACAACAACTACTACATTGTGGAAAACCACTTTGTTGGTACCAAATATTAGTGGGGCCCGTCCCAAAAGAGCCCAAAGAGTAAAGGTCCAGACTAATTGAGGAACTAGTCAGTAGTAGACTACATTGGCATTATCTCGTGCTTGAGGAGGCCCAAAAGAGGTAAAAGAAGGCTGCCCATGCCCAATCAGAGCCCACAAGGCCACGACCCAAGTGCACTAACCAAGGTGCCTCTCTCTTATAGGCCTGCACGTGGGAGTAACAAGCGTCAGAATGAGCCCATGTCATATTCCATTGACGTATGCTGTTCTCAAAAAAGGGAAAGGGTACACGTCAACTTGTCACCAATGAGATGATGCCATGTCATCGACGACTCAATAGTCCCACATAGGAAAAAAACAACTCAAATGTCTTATTCTCCTCTTTCCACCTAAAAAGGGAATCTAAACTTTCTCCACACTTGAATACAATACTTTTAAAAGCCTCCTTTGAGGAAGAAAAACTGACTTAGGCATCAGAGGGGGGTCGGTGAACCCACCATGAACACACTTGACAAGGAATCAAAGAACAAAACATCATACGCTTCATTAATTAATCAAGCAATTAAATGTTTTTAAACTCTTGTTTTGTTGTTCCACAAGTGGTAATTAAGTTAATCAACCAATTTGGTGTTAGTTGGATTGGTACAAACCTTTGCTTTGGTATGCTCCCAAATGGTCCTGAGTTCAAGCTCTCATGGTATCTGTCTGTGTGAGTTTTCCACTTCCCTTCATAACTTTGGTAATTAGGTTAAATTAGTGCCAAAGCAAAATTTTCATTTCAAGTTGATACTGCTCTGCTTGTACTTGTATAGCGTTCTTGTTCCTACTTAAATGTCATCTTTGGTGTTGGAAATATGGTGGGTGCAGGTTATGGTTCCATTAAATAAAGTTAGTGTTTCGTAACACGTTATAGCAACACCTTTTTTTAGACTTTATTTGCTTCCACAAGCAGTTTGCAAAGGGGAAATATAAATAAATCTTGTCGATACAGTGAGTCCTAATGATACGTTGATGATAGTATGTGTCTTGTACAGGATCGACCAGTGGTGTAGTAGTGAACCTCCCTTTCTTGACTATCAAGACAATCCGACCAGCAGTGGTGGACCTATTAATGCGCAAGGAGATGTATCTGCACCTCTCTTAGCTGGAAAAACCATTATAGGGACTCTGCTCAACCTAAGACATGCACTCTAGGTGTTCGATGAAAGGCCTAAACGAAGTCAGTCTGCTGTTGTACTACATTGTTGTGTTGTACTGCGTTGTTGCACAACACGCTTGTTTTATTTATTATTATTATTTATAAATCCTAGTCAAAATTGCACCTTTGGTAAAAAATTCATGGGTCCGTCAATGCCAACCAGTCACCGCTATTATCCGAAGAATCTATTTCTCATATTTTAAAAACATTTGAGACATTACTCCTACTTATTTCTTGTAACCCAGATCACAACTTTCACTTGGTATGACAAAAATAGTCACGAGAACATTTATCATGTACAAGTTCTAAACTTTAGCATATAAAACTCGAAATTAGCCATCTCATGCATTGAAGAACATTCATGGACATTGACTGGTAGCAATTGCACTATCCACAAATGATGTAGCTTGAAGTGTTGCAAAAGTAAAAAAGCCACATTAAATTAATTGGAATTTCAATGTCAATGTTCTAAACATTAAGAGCAACTCCAGCAAGGAGCTGAGCCCAAGGATGGGGGGGAAAAAAGAAAAAAAGTTGTTTCCAGCGGTGAGCCCAGGCCCAGGGGGATGGTGGGTCCCACGAACTCGATCTGGCCCGAAGGCCAGTTCAGCCCGAGGTCCAAGTCGAGGGCTGTGCTGACGTCATCGCTACAGTACCCACTGATTTGATTTTTTTTTCTGTTGCCACGTGGCATCGTCTGGGCTCTTCGATCTGATTTTTTCCTCCTATCCAATGGCAGCCAATTTTTTTGCAATAAAATACTAGAAAAAATTCGGAAAATTTTTAAAAAAATACCCACAAATTAATGAATTTTTTTCTATAAATACCAGCAAATTTTTTTTAAAATTTATCTGAAATTTGAAATTGAAAATTTTATCCGATTATGAGATATGAATAGTATTGACACATACGAACCCGAAAATCTTATAAAATATTATCCAAATTAATTATTGAGGTAAAAAAAGTTGTGAAAAAAATAAAAAAATGAATAGTAATTGCCCTTTGCTATGGCAACGGGTGGAAACAAAAAATACTATTTGCAAGGGCAACTACTATTCATGTGAATAGTGGCTGCCCTAGCTCCCCCTTGCCATGGCTAAGAGCAACTCCACCCATTTGCCCTTGCAAATTCAAATTTCATATAAATTTTAAAAAAAATTGGCTGGTATTTATAGAAAAAATTTCATTAATTTTTTGGTATTTTTTAAAAAATTTTCTGAATTTTTTCCAATATTTTATTGCAAAAAAATTGGCTGCCATTGGATTGGAGGAAAAAATCAGATCGAAGAGCCCAGACGACGCCACGTGGCAACAGAAAAAAAAAAATCAAATCAGTGGGTACTGTAGCGCTGACATCAGCACAACTCGCGTTTTGGACCTCGGGGTGAAGCTGCCTTCGGGCCAGACCAAGTTGGTGGGTCCCATACCTCCCCCGGGCCTGGGCTGACCGCTGGAAACAGCTTTTTTCTTTTTTTCCCCCCAGCCTTGGGCTCAGCTATCCGCTAGACTTGCTCTAAGAGCAAATGGGTGGAGTTGCTCTAAGTAAACTCACGAGTGTCAATTTCAACACAACCCGTGTAGGTCTATATGTATTAGTACTAAGAACCTGCAAATAGAATCTGCTTTTCCTTTTCTTTTATCTCCTCTGTTTTCTGGTTACCCAAGTTTCCCTGCTAAAAAACCTTAATAATTTTATTTTTTTTTTCCTTTTTCTGTGGTAATATGGGGGTAAAACCCAAAAAACTTATCATCAATTTTTCTTTTTGGAATTTCAGTAATTTTATTAATCTTAATGTTATACTGGGTAAAACCTCTCTAATTGGTGGGTTCCACCTCTTTAGAGATGGTACGCAAGAGACATAATTACATCACCACCAACCTCAGCAAACGCGCATATACTTTTTCTTTTTGTCCATTTATATGTTTGTGGCTCCAACATCACCAAATGCGAAAAAGAACAAATAATAATTAAAAGTGCTTCAGAAGCTAAACTCTGCCTTCGCATAAACTAATGTCCTGTTTCCTATGTTGCTTCCTGCTTTCTTATAAGCCTAAAAATGCAAAACTGTCTCCAGCACAGCAAATTGGTGAGGCACCGCCTAACCCAAATAAAGCCAGGCAGCTTCCATATGGAGCTAGACTTGTCTAATTTGCAAACCCTGTTGCCAGTTTTCAACTTATTATTCAGATGCTGCCAGCTTTCCTGTTCAACGCGGCATGTATACTCTAAGCCCCCCCAACACTTGTATATAAAGAGCTTCACAGCTCAAATGATACCATCAAACACAAACAGCCTCAACTCAACACTCATTTCTCTTTGAAGCTAATTCTCTTCTCTTGCTAGCTCTGTCTACAATCACACCAAATCAAAATGCCTTTTTCTTCTTCTTGTTCTAAGGTCTCAATGGTGCTTGTGGTTTCTTTGTTTGTAACTTCTCTGATGGCCATGGCTGCCTCAGCTGGTAATTTCTTTCAAGACTTTGATGTAACATTCGGCGATGAGCGCGTTAAGATACTAAACGGAGGACAACTTCTCACACTCAACCTTGACAAGGCTTCTGGGTCTGGTTTCAAATCCAAGAATGAGTACTTGTTTGGAAGAATTGACATGCAGATCAAGTTGGTCTCTGGCAACTCAGCTGGCACTGTCACTGCATACTATGTAAGTTTTAACTCCTCTACCCTCTTCCAATGTGAATAAGATACATAAGACTCTAGTCTTAATTTGAATTACTGCATTGCTAATTTATGAAATGAAACACATGAATGTGTGCAGTTATCTTCTGAGGGTCCAACTCATGATGAGATTGACTTCGAGTTTTTGGGCAATTTATCTGGAGATCCCTACACTCTCCACACAAACGTGTTCAGCCAAGGAAAAGGAAACAGAGAACAACAATTCCATCTTTGGTTTGATCCCACAAGGGCCTTCCACACCTACTCCATTGTCTGGAACAGCCAGAGGATTATGTAAGTAACACTTACCACCTTATTGAATTAAAATATAATTAACCTCTTTTAGTTTACTTTACAAACTACAACATCAATTATTAATTAAGAAACTTTCTAATACACATGCAACTGCAGATTCTTGGTGGACAACATTCCAATCAGAGTGTTCCACAACTTGGAAACAATTGGAGTTCCATTTCCCAAAAGCCAACCCATGAGGATTTACTCAAGCCTCTGGAATGCTGATGACTGGGCAACAAGAGGTGGCCTTGTGAAGACTGACTGGACACAAGCTCCTTTCACTGCCTCTTACAGAAACTTCCAGGCCTCCACCACATCAACTAACTCCTTAACAGAGCAGAGTGCATGGCAGAATCAAGGGCTTGATGCTGCAGGCCGAAACCGGCTTCGATGGGTGCAACAAAAATTCATGATCTATAACTACTGCTCTGACCTCAAACGCTTCCCACAAGGCCTCCCAGCTGAATGCAGACAGTCGAGGTTCTAGCGAGGCATCCAAATCATGCCACATGATCACATATTCTCTGTTCCAATGTGCAGCCTCATCATTCTTTTCTGTAATTAGTTCATTTTATGAAATATTCATTCATTCATTCCTTCTGCAAATATAGATTTTGTAGTTTCATATTATTTTTCTTCTTTTTTTTTATTCCATACCTGGTCCTTGTATTCTTTTATTGTAATCCTGAATTTAGAATCAAACACTTGGTAGAGTTGAAAACATGTTCATTTGAGAAATGATGGATTGTGTTTTTCTATTTTTGGGATTACATAGAGTTCAATAAGTCATGAGACCATTGGCCGTCGTGTTCGTGTCATTTCAAATTTGTGTCTAAGTACTAGTTGATCCTAACTCGACCGTAACAGTATTTTGTCGTGATCCAAATCATAACTTGTACTAATTGGTATCCTAAATATAGTCATGAGGATGAAGAATAAAGTTTTGGTAATTCAAAGAGACATCCCATGCATTCGTTGACCCGTAGCAACAGCATTGTCCAAAAAACATGTACCTAGTTCGGCGCTGTGCCACAAGTTCAACTTGAAAAAGGAAGCCAGATTGTAATTTCAAATCAATATTCTAAATATAGCTGATTTATTCAAAGTTCAAACGCAGCAAGCACCCACAATACATAAATAAACAAAGTCATGGTGATTCGAAAATAATTTTCAAAAAACTGAGGTACAATCTGAAAATTTAGATTGTATTCTCAGTTTCAATATTTTTTATCTTTATATCTAGGAACATCTTTTCAAGTACTTTTAGAAATTTATAAGCAACATTCTACATTTTCTGAACTGTTTTTGTTTCTGAGTAGCTTTCAAATTCTTGTTTATATAAAGTATCCTCCTAACCAATCAACTCTCTTCGAAGCTATTTCTCGTGCTAGCTCTGTGTACAATCACCAAACCAAAATGTCTTCACATAAAGTCTCATTGATGTTTTTTATTTCTTTGATCATAACTTCTCTGATGGCCATGGCTGCCTTAGCTGGTAATTTCTATCAGGACTTTGACATTATGTTCGGCGATCAACGTCTTAAGATACTCGAGGAAGGAAAACTTGTCACGCTTTCCCTTGACAAGGTTTCTGGCGCTGGTTTCCAGTCCAAAAATGGATATATATTTGGAAGGTTTGATGTGCAAATGAAGATGCCACCTGGGAACTCAGCTGGTACTGTCACCACATTCTATGTAACAACTCTCAATCCCTATAGCTCTTCCATTGTGATTGCATGTGCTGCTCTAATTTTTCTGTATATATTTGCATAAGCACTGCATGCATTGCTAATTATTGAAACATATGCATGCATATGCAGTTATCTTCTTCAGGTCCAGATCATGATGAGATTGACTTGGAGTTTCTGGGCAACTCCACTGGGGAGCCCTACACTCTCCATACTAATGTCTATGCCCAAGGGCAGGGGTCCAAGGAACAACAATTCCACCTATGGTTTGATCCCACAAAGGACTTCCACACCTACTCCGTTGTTTGGAACAGCAAGCGCATTATGTAAGTAACCCCCCCATCATGGACCATATTTCTTACCACAATGTAAACCACATCTCTAATAAGGGTCATATATGGCCCACCTCTGGTAGACTAACGTTATCGGCCAATATCGACATTGTGTATTGGTATCCAAGACCAAACAATATTTACTTTCAATTCATTACAACATTTGTTGATTGAAAACTTCGTGATACACATGCATGTGCAACTGTTTCAGATTCTTGGTGGATGGAAGTCCAATTAGAGTGTTTAACAACTTGGAATCACTTGGCCTTCCATTTCCCAAAAATCAATCCATGAAGATTTATGCAACTTTCTGGAATGCTGATGACTGGGCAACACAAGGTGGGCGTGTGAAGACTGACTGGAGCCATGCTCCTTTCTCTGCCTCCTACAGAAACTTCAACATCAATGCTTGCCTTGGGTCACAAGGATCACCATCATCATCTTGCTCTACATCTACCAATTCCTCAGCATGGCAGAACCAAGGGCTTAATGCTGCAGGCCGGAACAGGCTTCGATGGTTGCAACGCAAGTTCATGGTCTATGACTACTGCACTGACCGTCCTAAGTTCCCGAAAGGTCTCCCACGCGAATGCAAGCATTCGAGGGTCTAGATTTCTTCTAGAGAGGCCAGCAGATGCCAAATGATCTAAGCTAGCTCTCTAAATTATAGACACGGAGACCAAATCATTAGATGATAATAGTTCAAATTTCTCCAACAATGCCATTGGGTTTCATGTCAAAATTGAGCTTAATAAATTCAGGATTACAGCTACCCAGTTCCTTGAGCAAAAATACTCAAAATCCAAACCAGTCCTGCATATGTAATACCAATATAAAGATGCAATCTTCGGGACACTTCGTTTTCTTTTCCTGCTTAATTCTTGTAACCCAGATCGCAACTGTTACTGGCTAGGACAGAAATAGTCATGAGCACAATCTTCATGAAGAAAGCTTTTGGCTTTAGCATTTGAAACTTTGACTGGTAGCAAATAGCAACGGCATCATCCACAATTGATGCAGGAAGTTTGTCACTTTGCCACGACTTTAAGTTAACAAAAGGAATTTAAATATCGATATTCTAAACATTAACTCACTCACGAGTGTCAAGTGCAATCTGCTGTGTAGGCATCTACAGAGACGGATCAGGACCACCATCAGAACACCTGTATCCAGCTCTGAAAGAAGCTTTATGCTAAGGACAATTGGGGCTGTCCCTGCAGAGTCAACGGCTAATTTTCCAAGGGGCTTCTGCATAAAAAGGCCTCAAACTTCAACTTCAACAGCTCTCTTCCAGTCCTACACTCTATCTGTCTAAGCTCATTTATGTAACGAAAACGAAAGATGTCATCTTTCTGTCCATATGCCTTTGCTTCTATATTCGCAGGAACTATTCCTCTGCCAAACTTGTAAACAGTTAGAGAGGAACAGGGGAGGACCACTCAGAAAATTAAACCCAACATATAAATCTTCTGATGTCTACAGAACCTCTTATCTCTAACCTGTGTGCACTAGTTTCAATTCTCACTTCTCTCTCTTAACACACACCTTCACATTAGCTTTTGTCAAGTGGTTGTTGTGGCTCTGACATTTCAATTACTCAACTGGTGATTTCCACAGCTGCACCAATATAAGTGCCTGGCCAACCCAGTCTGCATAATTTCTCCATTCTCATGGCTCTTTCCTTTCCGTTTCATCTTTATCTGCTTGAGTGTCTTCAATATTCAATTTCAAATTTGGCATGCTTTAATCTCCCGGGTTTTTTTTCGGACAAAGAAAAACTTGATTTTCTAATTCTAGTTCATGATTTACAATACATCTCACCACAAAAAAATGAACAGTCGAGATGGAAATTAAGATTACAAAAAAGAAGTGTCACATTCCAATATATAGCAAAAGAGAACTCAGAAGGGGAAAATAAAATTTAGATTTCTTCACGATGAATCAGATACAACGTAGTCGATACAATTACAGAATCAGCCCATGGAATGACCATAGAGTTTCAGTACAACGACTACAATCCAAATTACGTCAAGATCTCTGAATTCTTCCACAAGAACTATCAAATTGTAACATTTTTTAAATGCACAACGGACCAATAGCTTCATTCCCTACTCCACACACCACTTATCGCTTTATGTACTCCAGCAGTGATGTGCAGAATTGCGAGCTCACTCCTGTATGAAACTTGAACCATTCAAAGTCCATAAAGCATGCTTCACTGCTACCTCTGGCATTGAAGACAACAGAATTGAATGAGACAACTCCAATTACCATAAACAGAAAATATTATTTCCTCAAATTTAACAAAAGCACAATCTGCAGCCCACACAACAGTCAAAAAGCCAAATGCACCCAAACCAACTTTTTAGCCAGACTTAAGAGGGAAACAATGATGCCTTTCATGAAATAACTCTGAGGTTTGCAACATTCATATATCAGTTTTGTAGCCATCTATTTTCTCACTCACAATTCTCATGAAAACCTTCGAGCAACATTGTTCTTCCTTCTTAATAAGTTTCAGTTGTAAATAAAAACAGTCCCATGACTTCAAGCCTAACATCTCCAATTTCCCTCAAGACCATATAAACACACAATGAGAACAGGGGAACCAAGACTGATGGGAATCTATCTTAATCAAGGCATCAGTTTTCAGGTGTGGCCCCTCTAGACTTAAACTCTTATTCCTTCAGCTCTACCACCCTATGGACGACTTCTTCAGAAAAACCTCACAATGACATAAATGGAGGCAATTATTGAGGCCTGATAAATTTAATCAGGTTAGTTCAGGACCTCATCACAGAAACAGACCTTTGTCGCCAGCTTCAACTTTCTGTTTCGCTTGAAAACTCACAGGCTTTTTATCGCTTTCTTTAGCCCAAGATTGAATTTCTGATCTGATGCCATTTACTCAGTACCAAGAACCACCTCCAGGAAAGAAAAGGGAAAAAAAGCACTGGGCACTAAGCTCGTTGCAACTATTCTTATCTCTCAAACCACTGTACACCATTAATATTCAAATCAAGTTGAATACTATTGACAAGATGCATTTGTTCTCCATTATTTATTACAGTCAAGGTAATTAATTCTAGTCTTAACAGTGATTCTGACCATATAACTTGTACATAAGGGTAGCCAGGATGTGGCCTGGAGGTCCTTAGCAGATATATATCTCTTCCCTTTCAAATTTTGCAGAGCTATTTGTATCAGATGTCCTTGGTGCAGATATTAATTTCCACTGCTCCTCCTCACCTTGTTTCAAACTACATGCTTTGATGCAGGTAGATGAAAAGGGGTGCTCCAGTGTTGTAGAGATTATTTGGCAAGGCTTTCTATGTTTCCTAAAGTTCTTTGCGCTTTCAGTCATGAAATAGCATGTCACAGAGTTTTGAATTGAAAGGCAAAAGAGCTACTATCACATTGGCATTTGATTTGTACTCGCAAAATGTATGATTTCTCTCTCTCTCTCTCTCAAACCATTCAAGAAACCAACACCACTTTGCAACAGTGACTCATACAACGAAGATTCATAATACTTGGAATAATGGAACCCATTAAACACCAAAAATTCAGATTTCAGAATGCAACATTGTTCAGCATTCAGTAGAGTTATCAAAATTATCTAATCAATAAAGATATATACCCACCCACATGAAACAAGAGAAAAACTTGCTGGAAATGTAAATTTCAAAAGGACCCAAATATGCGAATCTTTCCTTCTTCCTTCTATAAAATCTTACAGAAGAAAAATACAGAAGAATAATAAAAAAATCATCATTTGGGACCAGAGAATGAAACCCATTCTCAATCGAACCCATGAGCACCAATGTGACTAATAAATTCAAGTTGAGGACTTTCCCTCTTGGATGGTTCAATGCAACCCAAAACAACAGCAACACAGCGTTAAAAAAAAAAAAATTAACGAGAAATAAATTTGTGCACTAAATGAGAAACCCAAAAGCAGTTACCTTGAGGATTGGAGACAGCTTTCCAATGAGTTGTGCCTCCAGGACAAGAAAGAAGAGCCATGACAAAGAGATTGGGTTGGAGTTGCAGCTACCATTGTTTCTTGCTTTTTGATTTTTTGTTTTCCTTCACACTTTCACTTGGTTTGATTCTCTCTCTCTCTCTCTCTCTCTCTCGACAATATATATATAGGCTATGCGTGGGTGCGTCTGTGCTGTGTCTGTAGGTTTAAGGAGGGTTTTAGGATTTGCACGAATTACGAGAAGGCTTAAACTTTGACTGTTCCTCTTCTGCCCCTCCCGCCAAATTTTCTTGTCGGTTGGCCTTCAGTCCAGTCCAGTCCATTCTACAGTAATTTCAGTCGGACCAATTAACTTTTTTAAAATTTTAAAATTTTTTATCTTTCTTTTCCCTTGCCATCTAAATTGTTAGCAGAAGAAACACCTAATTGTTTATTAGTATTATTACTTTACTTTGAGAAACAACTCCTCTCTTAATATTGTGGTTAAGATCAAAATGTTATTGACCATTAAACCAAAACAGGGCTGTATTTTTTTAAAATTAAAAAGTAATATTTGGCAAAGGGGAATTGAATAAGGACCTCAAGTGCAAGATGATACTCTAAATCACTCGAGCTAAAAGTCATTTACAAGAATGGCTGTGATTGTGATTGAGCCTAGTATGCTTCTGTAAAAGCTTCACTCCACATCATGCCAACCTGATCCAAACAGATTTCTTAGAAACCTTATCTTGGTGATATGTAAAGCCAAAATGGTAAATATCTTACCCCGTGTCCTGTCATCACATACCAAACTAAAATCCTAGGTTGATTGGCATTAAGCGCTGCCCTGTGTTTAAATTGGTTTTTTTTTTTTTTTTTGTTGGTAGCACGCCTTCAGATAGGATCTTGCAAATGAATCTGTTCTATATGGGCTTCAGATAGGACCTTGCAACTGAATTTACTCACATGTTTACCAAACTTCTGGTATTTGTAAGCATAGAATACCACCAAGCTAGAGGGTTAACTCTCATTACAAATGCAATTTCTCTGTAAAAAAATCCATGTTTTTTTTTAATTTATGAGAAAGCAATCCATGTTGATTTATGAAGAAAAGAAAGCAAAAGTCAGTCCATGCAGTCTTAACTCGTAACCAAGACACAAAACCACTCCCTGAAATACCAAAACAGACAAGGTGGCTGCATAAAGAACACATATATGGTTTCCTCCTGCTTGAAGTTGCAAGATTTATGCATTCGACTACTTCAAAGTAATCAAGAGATGAGAAGATTTAAGGAAGTATAAGTAGTAATACTATGCAGAGTTCCAACGATATTAAATGTTAACCCCATACTTCTGTCTGCGAGAGTTCATCAGATAAAAGAGATAACAGTGCTCAGAGAGGGTTTTGCAGACCTTGAACAAAATCAGCAGACAACTCGTGGACAAGGAAAATTGACTGAGTGACACCTCCTATATATATTCCACAATTATTCTAATTCAATACACGAGGTATGAAGGAGCAGTTCAATCAATTTGAAAGGCTTGCATGATATTAAGCTACACATTGCTGCACTTAAAATGAAGAACCAGATGATGCAAAGAAATGCTGTGATGATCTGTTGATTTGTAACTATAGCACATCATCAAGGGACCTTGCTAATATGCTTGAATTATTCATGCTCTAATCATAAGTGATTTGTCAATCACCAAGTGGCTAATGGAATGAACTATAAACAAAAGAATGGATTTGCTAATAAAAAATAATTTTCAATTAGCTGTCATCATTCTGCCATAACTTCTCTAGATCACTTGTAACTACTACTGATTGCAAATAAGGAAACAAACTCCCAAAAATTATACAGAGATTGTTTTCACCACTCATTTTCATTTGTTGAAGTTTCAAGGTCTCACCCTCTTGGAAATAGAGATGCAAATTCACCCATGATGGGAGGTAGTAGACTCAGAGTGACTCAACCTCAGTTCAAATTTCAGATTTAAGCACATGCACAAAACCATAGAAACATAACCATTTTGTATGATCGCCACCACGAAGACATAAATGAAATAAGCAAAGTCAATTCATAAACTAAGAAAAAGATCATAACATCAATACCACAATAAAATACGGAACAATCAAAATTTCTGCCAGACAGACTCAACATGGACAGCCATACTTGCTCGGATGTGTTGAATCCCGCTGCAAAGACTGTCTACCGTCTGTAGCCTGCTATGCTGAATTACTCTGTTGCTTTCTTACTTCTCTTAGCCGTCTTCAGCTTTGCTTCTCCGCTCTTCAACTTCTCATGTTCACTCTTCCTCTTCTCCTTCTTTCCAACAGACTCTTCACCCTTGACTGGCAAATCATCTGCTTTCTTCTTTGTAACATCTTTTTTCTTCCCCTTCGAAGACAACTCATCTTTCTTATGCTTGATAGTGGCATCATCTTCATCTACCATCTTAGCCAACTTTTTCAACTCTTTCTCAACAGGAACCTCATCATCTCCATCTTTCAACTTGACCGACTTTTTCAACTGTTTCTCATTGTTAAACTCACCCTTTTCCCCATTTAATTCAGCATCATCTTTCACCTTCGCTGATTTCTTCAACCTTTTGTCACCCTTAGACTCACCAACAACCTTTTCCTTCTTCCTCTTCTTCTTCCCCAACTCACCACTACCCGGTTCTTCATTCTCACTTTGCTTACCTTCTCCAATATCCCCATCACCAACCAATTCATCATCATCAAGCACCTCACCAGCATTGCTATCCATATACCTCACTTCATGAATTCTACCCTTCTTCTTACTCACTTTCTCACTCTTCAAACCCTTACTCTCAGACTTAACAACCTCTTTCACTTCCTCCTTAACTTCCTCATCACTCTTAGCTCCCTCAATCTTCAATGTCAAATCGGGCACGGCCTGGTAAACCGGCAATGCAAGCGACTCCAGAAACTTCAAGTGAAATGACCTCACATCCCTCCACTTCTTAGGCACAATCTCCACAATCCCATTAATCGCCGCAAGCACATTCTCCACAATCTCATCAACGCTCATCGACACCTTCGCTACCCTCACCACGCTGCACGTCCCGGTACTCAAGAACAACAAGGCCGACCCACATGCCTTGTCAACCTGCTCTTTCCAATTCTTGTGCTCCAAGTCCACAGGCACCGGAATCTTCTTCTTCTTAAAAAACTGCTTCCCCAAATACTTCGGAAGCAAAGGCACAATCCGCCTATCAGCCAAAAACATATCATAAGAATACAACAGCTTCCTCTTGGCTTCAAAGGGCACGTAATCAGTCTTGAGCTTCGAAAGCTTCAAAATTTTCGAGATGGGTATGTTCTCGGCCTTGATTTTCTTCTGGATGAAGTCCTTGGTGAGATCGGACTTGGGTCCATCGTCGTATATCAAGCAGAGCTCAGAGAGCTGGGAATGGAGAGGATTTGGGAGAGGGACTTTGTAGGCGTTTATGCGAGCCTTTGGTGGGATTTTCTTGAGGGTGAGAACGAGATAGGCGAACTCGTCGGATTCTAAGAGATCCGGTTTCTCGGTCTGCAACTTGGAGTTTCGCCATTTGAGGAGGGCATTTACAGCTTTCCGCACGGTCTTGGTGATGGCTTTGGTGGGTTTGTTTGTGGAAGCTGTAGGAGCTGGAGTGGTCGTAGACATGGAGGCAGAGGAAGAGAATGGGGCAGAGTGCTAGGGTTTAAAGGAGAGAGAAGACAACTAGGGAAATATTGGGACTTTGGAGGTTTTAGTTTTAGGGTTTTTGGAGGAAATACGCGGCTTTGCCCCCGGCGCTCTTGTTTTTTTCACTAATATCCCCTCTTTGAAACCAAATCACAAATGTCCCCTATAAAACCTAAGGGTGGCATTTTAAACCAAAAAACTGCAAAAATTAATCAATATTATATCATATTGAAATCACAATACCCGTAAACTGACCGAAAATTGCGGTTTTAGAAATTGCACCACAATTGCCATTGCGGTTGATGAAGTTGTCAACTCGCGGTTACTGCAAACCGCAATCATATTTTAATAATAATAAAATTGCATTTTAGTAAATGGAACATATGACAACTTGTAAGTAATTAGTTTATTTATGCTTATGTTATTTATGCTTCTTCTTATAATAAAATGTACTAAACTTATGTTGTAGTCCTTCAAATCCACTTACCACCACCAACACTTGAGTTCTCCTTTTGGTTTGTAACTTTAATTAACTTTGAATTGGATTTTTCCTTTGGATTATAACTTAAATTCATTTTGCATTGCATTTTCCTTTTGGTTTGTAACTTTAATTAACTTTGAATTGGATTTCCCCTTTGGGTTGTAACTTTAATTCATTTTGCATTGCATTTTCCTTTTGTTTGTAACTTTAAGGAATTTGGAATTGGATTTTTCTTTAGGTTGTGAATGCTTGAGAAGTTGAGGTTGAGGTTGTGAATTTATATGTTTGGGTTAAAGTATGCTTGAACTCAAAAGGCTAATCAAAACTAGGCATAAAATGTGGAAGATTGGATTTTTATAACACAAAAAGAACTTGCGGTTTAAACCGTTAATTCACGGTAACCGACCGCTTTTTGCGGTTTCAAAAATCACCTTATTGCATATAGTCGGTCGATTTGCGGCTTGAGCAAAAATTCGCTGTTACTAAACCGCAACCACCCTTAATAAAACCTCATTGATGCCCATATCGCCCTTGTGTCACTTTTTTTTTTGTGATTCTAAGCTCAGAGCTCTCACTCTCACGTACTCACTCACTCACCTCTCCTTTCTTATGTTTTCTCTCTCCCTCTCACCCACATGGGCGACGCCAACAGTCACCTCCTCAGAACCCACATCGGCGACGACGACCTCACTCTCTCTCTCTCTTTCGGCCGCTGTTCTCCACCTCTATCTCTCACTCTCTGTCACCTATTTCAACCGTTGTTCTTCCCCTCCAATTCAAAAATTTCTCAATTTTCTTCTATATTCCTGAAATCCATATACCTATAGATTGTTGATTTGAGTCTCCTAATTAATCAAGGAGCATTATTTCCTTGATTAATTAAGGGATTTACTTTCCCATTTTATTTAGTTGACAAATCTTTGTATAATTAGAAGATACTATCCTAATTGATTACGGTATCTATTTCCTTGTAAAGCACTCATGTAAACTCCTATATATACCTCTTTATGGAGAAGAATAAAATTCAACCTAATACATTCAAACCATATTCATATTTTAGTATGGTATCAGAGTCATCGATCCTAGGTTGTCTCTAAACTCTTATCTCAAATTTCTCATATTCAAATCCAAAACCCTAAATCAAATTCCTCATAATTTTCCCCAAATCCAAATCCCTCAAATCTAAAGTCCTCAAATCCTCTTATCCAAATCCTTAAACACATACCCTCAAATCTTATACACATACCTCTTAAATCCAATTCCTACATCAAATTCCTCACATCAAATTCATCACCTTCTCATATCACATCTTACTTCCACTGCGATGTCAGGAACCCCTACGATTCTCCATCTTATTGTAGACTCACAGAAGCATGTGGTCAATCCTGCTGACTCGGCTACACGTACTCCTGCTTCTATCACCACCACCAAAAGTTCTACTTTTCATACGTCCTCCAAAAACTCTGCATGGATTATCAACTCAAGCGCTACGGATCACATGACATTTAATCCTGGCCAACTTATTAATCGCAAATCATCCACTCCGCCAGTGATGTCTAATGCTAATGGTACCTATTCCCCTGTGGTTGAGGAGAGCTCTCTATCTCTCTCTACTTCTCTACATCTGGATTCTGCATTACTTATTCCATCTTTGGACCATAACTTGTTATCTTTTGCACAACTTACTACTACTTTGGGATGTACGGTAACATTTAGGCCGAATTATTGTGTTTTTCAAGACATCCTCACAGGAATGATGATTGGTTGTGGTACTTGCAAGACAAACTCTATTACTTGGACTGGGCACCGGATAATGAGGTCAATGGTGATCAAAATTTCACAACCAGTGTAACTCGTCCTGAGGGGGAGAGAGAAAAGAGCCATCGTGTCCCGTTCCCATTAAGTTCAAATCAGAGTTTGGTTCCGTTTTCCCTTGTTCATTCTAATGTTTGGGGACTTGCTAAAATTGCCACTCCAGCAAGGGTGCAATGGTTTGTTACGTTTATAAATGATTGCACACGCATGACTTGGGTTTCCCTTCTCAAAACAAAAGGGGAAGTTAGTTACAGGTTTCAATAGTTTTATCAAATGGTGGAGACTCAATTTCAAGCCAGAATTCAGGTTATTCGTTCTAACAATGGCGGAGAATTTCTTAACCATGATCTTAATCAGTTTTTACAAGATCATGGCATCATACATCAAAGCTCATGCCCTTACACTCCCCAACAGAATGGGGTGGCTGAAAGAAAGAACAGACACTTATTGGAAGTCGTTTGTGCCTCTCTCTTTGGTGCTAATATGCCACGATCATTTCGGGGCGAAGCCGTCGTCTTTGCAGCATACCTTATCAATCGGATTCCCTCTAGTATCCTAAATTTTCAAACACCACTTCAAACACTTCACCACCATATCCAAACACCTCCCACCCCAAACCTGGAACCCCAAATTTTTGGTTGTGTTGTATTTGTCCACTTACATGATCACTAACGAAGCAAATTGGATCCCCAAGCGAAAAAGTGCTTTTCATTAGTTATGCAACTCTTCAGAAAGGATACCGGTGTTATCATCCCTTAGTTAGAAAGTCTATACTTCTATGAATGTTGTGTTCTGGGAAAACAACATATATTTTTCAGTTGCACAGGAGGAGCATTGCGACACCAACACATCTCTAATTTTTAATTTTTTTTCCTCCAGCATTGTCCTAGCCTGAAAATGATCGATCTCATGTTGAAAGCGACCGGTCGCCAACGACTCTGCCTGAAAACAACCAGTCGCAGCCTGATAACGACCGGTCGCTTATGACTCTGCCATAAACCAACCGGTCGCAGCTTGGAAGCAACCGTTCGCTGCTCAAAAACTAGCATCAGCCTAATATGTCGTCTCCTTGCTGTCCAACTCAAGAAGAGAAAACTAATAAGATTTTGCCCACTCCGGAGACTTCTTCAGCTCCAGTACCACACCAATCACCTGTTGAGGACGTTATTCAGGTAACATCTTGTCCTGAAACTGATAACATTAATGAAATTTCCCATGATAATTTAATTTCAGAAGGCACAGAGCCTGCATATCATATTCCAAAAAGGAAGAACCGTGGCAAACCTCCAGTACACTACGAAGCAAATCTTAATGCCAAAGGAAAATATCTCATCAACAATTATGTATCCATTAGCAGATTATCAGAGTCACGGGTATACTTTGTGAAACAGTTGGCCGACATACCTATTTCCAATAGTGTAACTAAAGCACTAGAAAACCTAAAATGGAAAGAAGCCATGAATGAAGAAATGCGAGCTCTCCAGAAGAATGGCACATGGGAACTCGTGCCATTACCTTATGGAAAAAAAAATACAGTGGGATGCAGGTGGATTTATATTGTGAAACTCAAAGCAAATGGATCCATTAAAATATATAAAGTTAGATTGGTGGCGAAGGGGTACACACAAATATATGGGATAGACTACCAAGATACCGTTGCTCCAGTAGTCAAGATTAAAACTATCAGAGTTCTTCTGTCTCTAGCAACAAATCTCGATTGGCCATTACATCAGTTTGATGTATAAAAAATGCATTCTTACATGGAAACTTGGAAGAATAAGTATATATGGACTTACCACCAGGATATAACTTAGCTTGTGACAAGGAGAGTCAAGTTTGCAAGCTTAGAAATTCATTATATGGGTTAAAGCAATCCCCCAGGGCATGATTTGGCAGATTCACTAAATCCATGAAGAATTTTGGATATATACAGAGTAATGCATATCACATTTTATTCTTGAAAAGTGATGAAAGAAGACTTACTGCATTGATTGTTTATGTGGATGACATAGTCATAACTGAAAACGACACAGGAGAGCAACTGAAACTGCAGAAGTATTTGTCTTAGGAATTTGAGATGAAGGATTTAGGTGATCTAAAGTACTTTCTAGAAATTAAAGTAACCAGGTCCACAACTGGTATATTTCTATCTCAAAGGAAGTACGTATTAGATCTGCTCACTAAAACAAGAATGCTTGGATGCAAACCTGTTGATACACCCATCGAGATAAATCACGAGTTATATGAAGGCATGGATTAAGAACCAACCAATAAGGAACAGTACCAACGCTTTGTTGGAAGGTTGATATATTTAGCCTACACATGACTAGATATTGCATATGTTGTGAGTGTGGTTAGTCAGTTTATGCATTCACCTAGTGTGTCCCATAGGAATGCAGTTGATCGGATCTTAAGATATGTAAAGTCAGCACCTGGAAAAGGATTAATGTTCTCAAAAAATAGAGATCTCGAAGTTGTTGGATATACAGATGCTGATTGGGCTGACTTCATTACTGATAGACGCTCTATGTCAAGTTACTTGACCTTCATAGGAGGTAACCTAGTCACTTGGCGGAGTAAAAAACAAAATGTGGCTTCTTGGTCTAGTGCAGAAGCAGAGTATCGAGGAATAACTCACGGAGTTTGTGAACTACTGTGGATCAAAAGACCATTAACAGAATTGGTTTTCAAGCCAGGAAAACCAGTGGAGTTACATTGTGATAACAAATCAACCATTGACATTGCCCATAATCCAGTTCAACATGATCAAACCAAACATGTTAAAATGGATAGACATTTTATCAAAGAGAAGATTGAGAAGAAGATCATCCGCTTAACATTCATAAAATCAGAAGATCAACTAGCAGATATCTTAACAAAAACTGTTTGTGGCAGAGTATTTCATGACTCACTTACCAAGTTGGGCATTGGTGACATATATGCACCAACTTGAGGAGGAGTGCTGACGGGAGTCTCCTAATTAATCAAGGGATTTACTTTCCCATTTTATTTAGTTGACAAATCTTTGTATAATTAGGAAATAGTATCCTAATTGATTACTGTATCTATTTCCTTGTAAAGCACTCCTGTAAACTCCTATATATATACCTCCTTATGGAGAAGAATAAAATTCAACCTAATACATTCAAACCATATTCATATTTTAGCAGAGATGATGTCCCAGATACCCAGCTCAGCTTTTCGACTTTACTTTCATACCTCTTTGTTATTTGGGTTTTCTTCTACTTGTTTCAATTTCATATAGTGGTCTAGAAAATTGCTCAAAATCCAAATTCTTGGTACATCGTTTTATTTATCATGCTTAGTTGTTTGTTCTAAATATATGGTTCTATTTGTTTGGTTAGGCTGAGTTGATGAGTGCATGAAAAAAATGGCCTACAGCAGGTGTTCAATGAATCACCTTAATGAGCACACTATGGTTTTATTTGAGATACAAACCAATTGGGACAATTCTCATGGTATATGCTTAAAGTTGAACTTCTAGGAGGACCCAATGAACCCATCTAAATGGAAGGAAGAACATGTGAGTTTTATTATAATTTGTTTACGAAGATGTCTTTATAGTGCATAATGGGTTTTGTTAGATCACCGTTGACTTTAGTTTGATTACCTTTTAATAATGCTTGAGAAATGTCCTTGTTTTTACATGAAGACTTACACAAGTGCCATATTATGTCAATTTATAGTGAATGGATACTTGGTTGTGTCATTTGATATTTGGAATTCTATTAGATTTATTTTCTTATTTTTTTGCTTTTGTGTCATGTCTTGAGTTTCTTTCGTTTGGACATCGTCATTTAACATTGTTTTGTGTCATTGTGAAATTGAGAAATAAAGTTCATGTTATTATTTTGCAGGAATTCTAAGGGCTATGGTATGGCAAAAAAGTATGTGTGCAAACAAAAGAAACATAGAAAGGGTCTGATGTTGCTACTTCACATGGCCAGGTTTTGCTACTGCTTCCTCTTCCTCATTTACCTAAAAGAAAGGGTCTATATCTCTAGCATTTGCATCCAAATGTCCATTGACATGCCCTGCAGTACTAGCTAGCACTACTGCCTCTGTTGTATGTGGTCCCCTGATTTGGTTTCTTTGACCCATGTGATGCTTTCAGATCCTTAGATCCAACTCCAATGGCTATTTTTTATTAAGTCATAATTTACTGCCTATAATTAGGACTTGCGGTTTGAAGTTTTTAATTTGGAACAATTCATGTATGCTATTAAAACATAAATGATGCAAAGCCAATGCCGAGAATAGAAAAAAATAAGCAATATGATCATACGGGGTTTAACGTCCATGTAGATGTGCGCTGATCAAGCTTGAGCAATAAGGCCTTTCATCTTGTGGTTAGTAGGTTTGCTTTTCCTCGTCCATTAGATGTTTTCCAATTCTAAGGTGATATGATACTCTTCCTCTTGGCATTATTCTCATGGCTGTGAAATTTCAGTTTGCAATGAATGGCTATATCAATCTAAAAGATTAATTTTGTGTGGAAATTGAATGAAAGTAAATTGTACTGCATACCTCTGTGGTGTCTATGTTCTGGAGTTAATATTGTTGATCAATGATCAAACTCTTTCATAATTCTTTCGTTGATTAATATTTCTGTTCTCTCATTGTTCTGGAGTTAACTTGATTGAGTTGTCATGCACTGCTTGAAATTTTGGATACCATGTGAGTTATAAGTTGCAAATGAAATCGAGATGAAAAACAATGAACTCTATTTTCATAAGAAACTTAGTCTGCTTTGAGTTTAAGTTTATCTTTTCTTGATACGTAAGTAGGAGATTTTAAATTGGGCTTGTTTGTGCTTTTATGCATCTGCATATATAGCAATAAAAGGAAAGTGATGGTTCCAATAGAGCAGATCAAAGATGTACATCATTAATACCAATTTGTCTTTTGTATTACTATGTATATACATATTGACATTGCTTTATTTTGTTTCTATTGTAGAGGAAGATGATGGATGAATTTGAGAAGGTGAAGCAACAATTGGTAGAGTATAAGATCCTGTCACGGCCCATATCCCAAAAGCTTGGTCTCTAGTGATTTGAAACCCTAACTCAAGTCTTGAGATAATTGACCTTTTTTTTTTCATGATAGTTGGACCTAGATTTTTGGCTTCTACAAGATTGTTGTCATTGAGAACCTTCATCAATTTGGAGTGGGACAACTTTCCATTCAGTTGCAGGAAGTGTACTATAGTTATAAGGAAAAAAAATATGTAATTGAGGAACTATTTGTGTATCAGACAGACCATGTAATTATTTAGTCCTCATGGAATGAAATTGAGTTCAATTTACTTGAGAAATTTTAGTCTTGAATCTGTTGTTTTTATATATTTGCAAGCGTATGTAATTGAAAAATACTTTTATTTATATTATACATTGAAGAGAGCGCATTATATACATTATATGTATATAGCTCCTTCTTGCCTTTGTATTGCAACTATATTGCTCACGTATAACCTTTTTTTTTCAAGTCTGTGTTGGAATGAAATTAATGGGGGAGTATGGAATTTTTGTGTTGACATTGTATATCCCTTTATTGCTTGTGTATTGCTATTATATTGCCCCCGTATATCCAATTTTTTCAAGTCTGTGTTGGGATAAAATTATAGTGGGATTATGGAGTTTTGGTATTGCCATTGTATAGCCCTTTATTGCTTAGGTATTGCTATTGAATTGCTCCCATATATCCTTTTTTCAAGTAGGTTTGGAACACATACTTAAAAAATAGGTTATACGGGGCAATACAATGGCAATACTAAAGCAAAAGAGGGATTTACAATGGCAATACCAAAACAAAAAATTTACATCTCCTCTTGGTCAGGAATTTTAACACATTTTATATCTATCAGCAAAATTCCAGGACATCTCCTCTTAAACCCGAATTTAAGCTGAAAGTTAGCAATTTCCTCCCCAAAAAAACGCCGCCACTTGAAACAAGAAAATCTTCCATCTATATAAAACGGATCAAAAATGCATATTAGAAGCAAATCATTCAATCAAAAATCATTAAATGTGTGGCATCCACAGTAATGACTGGCCGCATCAAAGGTTGAAACTGTTCAGCTAGCAACAATAAATTAGATTTAGATCGCCCATTTGATCTGCCCAACATACTACAATAAATGGAGCATACCGGTTGGATCCACTTCCCTAGCAAGTTTGATAAGCATAAGATGTGGCTATATATTGGTTGGCTGGAGATATTGCTAGTATTGAAATAAACGTTTAAATATCAATCACAAATTAGAATAAAACAAAAACAGAAACAGAAGTTAGAGCATTATAATAATGGAAATTGGGTATGTAGTTGGGGTGTTAAATTAGAGCATTATAATACAGATATAATACAAGACCAAAAGAGGGGCAATCAATAGGCAATAAAATTGGAAAACAGGACAGATGTCTTGCTGGGAAATTAGCAAAAGTGGAATTTAGGTCAATTAGGAAAATATTGAAAATATTAAAAATAGGGAAATTCCAAATGAACAGCAAGATCAAAACAATATGCAAGAGATATATCAGCAATATCAGTACAATGGAGTTGCAATAGACACCCGATTTGCAATACATAAGTAGTATAAGGATTACTATTCACAAATGAGTGTGGTGACAGACAAAAAAATTCCTTATACCTCCCAGAATTTGTCCATCCCATTTCCATATCTCATACTTTCTCTCCATTCTCTCCATAATCTTTTGTTTTCTGATAACATCATTAACATGTTTAGGGTTCGGTCTTGCTATTTTGTTGAATCCTTTACGTGATCAAGAAGAAAACTTATGAAAGCATGCTAATAACGTCGCTAATGTTTTTTCTGATCCTATATTTGCATCCGCGTGTTTTTCGTAATGTAATTTGTTTAAATGACATGAGAAAATTAGGAATTAATTCACATGTTTTTAAGTTTTGGTTTTTCTATCTTGTTGTTGAACTAATCATTCAGGAATTATCTTCAGAGGTTTCAAATTATGATGTTGGTTTCTTACGGTTAATATCCACATTACTGTTATTTCATAGAGAATTTGTGAGTTTTATAAGTATTCTTACAGGTTTCTCATAAAGGCTAGAAGTCCTAATTTGATATATCACTTAAGTGATTTCACAGACAAATCGCAATCACAAAAGAGTGAATACATCACTTTTAAGGAGGTTTGCAAGTCCAAGTCTCAATCACAAAACAGTTGTTGAGACCCAAAAAATACATGGTTGGGCCCGAATAAATTATCGGCCCAAAACAACGATCCATTAGGAAAAAAAAAGCGTAAAGCAGAGTGCACCGAAACCTACCATATGCAAATTACAATGCACGTGCCACGCTAAATTCGCTCAGGGTTGAGATAAAATATACTGTGTTTACAGGCCCATGCAAAAATAAGCATCGCAGGGCGATAAATTAAAACATGCCAAGCAATGTGCCATGCCAAGCACGAAATCATTATCGCACACCCAATCACGCTACAAGCCTAAGTGGGCCCAAGCCACTCAAAAAACCGGGGCTTGCTTGAGTGGGTTGTGGTATGGACGGTGATAAATCAACATGAGACCCATTGATGGGCCGAGAAATGGAAAGTCTCGGGTTGCTTGGGAGCCTCGAGACTCAAGCCCATTTCTTATGCCCAAACATGTGGATAAGTACAAGAGAGAAAAGTAGCCCAAAAGCCCAAGCAAAATAACCTAACCAAGAGATAACCCAACCAAAAAAATAAGCTCAAATCAAGAGGCCCAATGTTTCACAAAAGGCCCATTTGCTTAGGAAGTCATCTTGGCCCTTAGAAAAACCCAAAATAGCCCACAAAAGCTTCAGCTCTTTTGAAAAACAGAGAACACGTGAAGGAGGAGGTTGGCAGGCTCATCAAGCAAAGCTGCTAGGAGCAAGTTCCAAGCCAGAGACGCCCAAGGAACCAAGGAATGCTGGCCTGCACCCTGTCAAAAGCACCCCTTGGACCAGCATATATTTTCACTTCCTTTCCTTCGTCAGATTCAGCCAAGGCAGGGGAAGGAAAAAACAAAAAAAACAGTAACCAAGAAGGGAAACTCTCACTGCACAGATGCGGGAAAAGGGGACATTGAGCTCCCAAATCCCCTGAATTCAAGCAAATAAACAGAGGCAATTTTTGCCAAGATAGGGAAGTCAGAGAAGAGGAGGAGAAAGGAGGAAAAGGCTTAGCCAAAATAAGTAGAAGCCATTAGGGTTTCTTGAAAAATGGTGATTTCCAGCAACTATAAATTGAGGCTTCCCCTACCCAACAGAGACAACTCGAAATTCAGGGAGCAAGCTTTCTCTCTAAACTTGCAAAAATCTAACTACCTCGTGCACTGTTCATCTTCTCCTCCAATTTGTTTTTCTGGCAGCTGCCAGAAGAACTCTGCCTTTCTTTCCCAGCCAAAATCCCTCACAAAACACCTCATTCCTTACCTTAGTACTTCCTTTTCTCATAAACCAAGCCTAATCTCTCTCTCTTAGTGCTAAACTTATGTTGGTTTTGCTCCCATGCCACATGCCACCCATGCTGAGCTAAAATACTATCTGAAAGCATGCCAAAATTATCTGTAAGCCACCATTATTCTGATCCGTGAAGAGAGCCAGAATATCTCCTAAGATTTTTCTACTCTTTCGAGGTATTTTGGAGCTTAATCTTCGAACCCAGGCAAAGGGGACAGTCTCCTCAGTCCGCCCTTTTACAGCAGCCCAGCCCATTAGCTGCAGGAAGAAAAAGTCCCCCACAACAGTGTATACATCATTTCAGAGACAAATCATAAGCACAAAACAGTGTATCCAAGTCCAAGAGCTTGACAACCACAGGAAATAGTTAATAAATTTCATTCAATCACATAAACAACAAGCCACAACAGAAAACCAATATCAAAACTCACCACAGTGTAGATCGACGACTAAGGTGTCATGGCTTTGTGGTGTAAGTCGATGACAGAGGTGCGAGTCACGATTATGGCTTCATTGTGGAGGCCGACGACGGAGGTGGCGAGTCGCACCTTGGCTAGGGTCCAGTTCCAAATTTGAGGTTCAACCTTGAGGTTGAAATCAACTCCTAGTTGGAAGATATAACTAAGAGGAGATGAAGTTAGGCAAGATTCTATTGTGGAGTGGATTTCCTGTAAGGTTTGGCAGAAGGAAGAAAAGGAAGAGACTAGAGATGAGGATTTCAGAGAGCAACGACAGAGAAGAAAAAAAGTTAAGTGAAAGAAGGGCAATAGGCTGTCAATATGGAGTTTTTATAAGGGGCATTTGTGATTAGGTTTCAAAATGGGGATATTATTGAAAAATTAAGTGCGCCGGGGCAAAGCTGCCAATTTCCCGGTTTTTGGAGAGGGCAGAGCTTGAGAATTGTATGTAAAATTGGGCTAATTTGGGTTTATTATGGGCCCATATTGAATTGGGCTAGAGACTTTGGGCGTGGTTTCAACACAAAAGACAATCATGGCATTGGCAGGCTTGGAACTTGTAAGTTATGGGGTTGAAATTGATTTAAATTAGGCAAAAAGTCATTTTTTGTCCCTATAGTTTATCATTTTTATCATTATAGTCCTTGTAGTTTCAATTTGATCAATTTTGTCCTTGTAGTTTCAATTCCGAGCAATTCAAGGACAATTCCCATTTTTTTGTCTAATTACTCTAATATGGAGGGGCATTTCGGTCCAACTTATAGCCCCTCCACAACCACCCCCACAAACACGTAGCAGCCCCTCCCCCAACCACCTTCTCTCATCCCCCCTCCCCCTCCCTACCCAACCTCTTCCTCCTAACTCAACCCACTCCTTATTATATAGTCACGACCCAACCACCCCCGCAATCACCTTATACCCTCCCTCCACAACCACCTTTCCCCTCACTACGCTATGTCATCAAACTCCAAAACTAATTCCGTACATTGCCTAAAACCTCTCCTCATGAACCCATGATAAAGTAGGGGCTTGAGACTTGAAAGCATAAGAAAAGCTACAATAAGGGTTGCTTGGGTGGCTAGGGCATAGTTGTGGAGGGGATGCATGATTGGACCGAAATGCCCCTCCACATTAAAGTAATTAGGCAAAAAATTAGAAATTGTTCTTGAATTGCTCGAAATTGAAACTACAGAGACAAAATTAATCAAATTGAAACTATATGGACCATAGTGGTAAAAATGGTAAACTACAAGGACTAAAAGTACTATTAAATTATACAGCTTTAAACTAGTAGAGGTCTCCATTAACATTTTGGAGATGGTCCCTCACAACTCACATGTATCACAATCTTGAGATGGCCCCTCACCTCAATAGTTTCACCTCCCCTATAAATAACCCACAATGACGGTTTTACTCTTCAAATTGATGGTGAAATTTACAAATAATGTGATGGAATGACTGAATAGGAACGAATGAGAGAGTTGAAAAACCAAAATGGCACAAAAATTAGTTAAATAACCAAAATAAAACTCGGGTATAAGTTCATGAACCATTGCAATTAAAAACCCATAAATAAATAAATAAAAGTAGTATGCATAAAATTTCATTAAAAACCTAAATACTTCTCACATCTTAAACATGAAAATGCCTCTTTAATTCCAAATAAAGATCTATCTCGATCAACCATTACAGAAAAATGGTTTGAAGTATAGGAATATAACTTTTTCACACTGCCAAAAAACACTCCAGTGAAACACAAAGTCGCACACTGGTGGTTACTCTTGGTTGAAGCATTGAAGCCGTTTAGTAAAGCTCCCGCCTTTTTAACTCCTGAGGGCCCCCAATGCATCAAATATGTGCAGATGTAGCGTTGTATTTCCCTCCTTGACCGTTTCAATTTCAAAAACGTTAAAAATCAAACTCACGGCATTCTTTCTCTGCTCTATCTGCCATTCCATATGAATATGTGATTTCTTTGTAAACTCACAGCCACCAGTCAACAAGTAGGCCATGCCTTCACGTTCGCATTCACGTCCAAAGAAAACCAGTTCAAAATCTGCCAAGAAACAAATGAAGCATACCAAAGAATCCATCCACCAGTCTCCACCTATCCTTCAACTCCATGTCCGAGGTTCTCTCTCTTACTGTTTCTCTTTATTGGATTCCTATTTGTTATTTGATTAATTGTAAATTGGCTTCCACATAGTTTGACTTTATTTCTTATTGATCCATCTGTAATTTCCTTTATGTTTTCTTAATTCCTTTTTTGTTCTCTCTGTACCATGTTAAACTAATATATATATATATATATATATATACATACATACATACATATATATATATATAGAGAGAGAGAGAGAGAGAGAGAGAGAGAGAGAGAAATTTATGACTTGAAATTTTGTGATGGCAAAGAATTGAGTGGTTGTGAAACTGCTTCTGTGACTTGTCAAAGCCATTCTGATGATCAATATTCATTAGGAGGAGAAGAAGAAGATAGACGGAAAGTTTCTGCAGATCTTAACCAAATGGCGGATTCTTCAAACGGGAATTTAGAGGAGACCCTGAAAGTTCAACCAGATGATGAAGTTAAGGTGGTTGAATCTGTGACGGACATAGCTATTGATGATTATTCTGCGGCTGGAAAGAAAACCCATGACGGTGATGATTTGAGTTCGAGTAGTAGCAGTTCGGATGAAGAGACAGGAGCTGGTGAGAAGAGTGCTAAAGTGGCGGATTCAGGGGAAGTGGAGGAGACGAAAGAAGTTTCCGTAGTGGTTGTTGAGACTGTTGAATCTCTGTCCAACCATTTGGATCAAGGTGGTGTTGATGATTTGGAAGCTGTGGAGGAAGAAGAGGAGAAAGTTTTGGCATCTGTCAATGGGACCGATGAATCTTCTGCGGCCATAACAGATTTGGTGTCAGAGCAGATTGAGGAAAAAACATTGACATATTTGGATGAGAGCAATGGGGTTTCTCTAGCTGAAACAGATTTGGTGTCCAAGGAGGTTGAGGAACCAGCATTGCCTTCTTTGAGTGAGCATGATGAGCCTGCTCCAGTCATAACAGATGTTGAAGAAAAGAGTGAGGTTGTAGATGTGGTGTCAAAGGGAATTGAAGAGACAATTGGAGAGTCATCTTACAAGGCATCTAGTGAGAATGTGGTTGATGGATCCTCGGAGCCGTCGCCTGATCAGGTTCCTCCTCCAGTTGAATCAGCTGATGCTGGAGAAGAGTATGGGAAGCCTGAGATTCCTGAAAGCACGGGAAATCCGGTAATTAAGTTGATTAAACTGTTTCTTTACATGTTTAATATTTTCTAGCTCACATGAAATTCTTTTCAATTGAATGATCATCTCTTGGTTTCGTGTGTTGGCAGTCTATTGTATCTGTCACTGGACGCCCCCTGCAACCAACTTCATGGAGGAGTTGCTGTGGGCTTTTCCAAGTTCTGCATCGATCCAATCGATAATTCAAGGTAAATTACATCAAGATCATAGTCTAATTATCATTAGATTAGTTTATGGTGTGAACTCTATTGTGCTTAGTGTATGATAAAAGGTCGTTTTAATCGATCTGAGTGGGAAGAACAAGATATACTAAATGTGCTCTTCATGAACAACCCTAAACTCACGGAAGACTCCTAACGAAACACTGTCCCATCAACTGTTTAAGATTTTGTTTTAGACCTTTTTTCTTTTTTCTTTTTTCTTTTTTCTGAATACCAATCTACGTATGGATTCAGTTTTAGGGCTGAGAATTCATTCACGTTTTCTTACTTCCTTTTTTTCTTGAATTTTTGGGTGAAAGAATTGACCAAATAAAAGTTTGGAGTGTGCTGTCATGCGGTGGCATGTGTTGGCATAAACTCTGTACATAAACTTGTTGCTTCAGAAACATGGCTTTACAGTTGGTGGCCTACCATGTATATAGGTCTTTCGACATTGCATCTCATTTTCTTTTGCACAGTGCTAAACAACATGTTCACCAGTCAATGAGGTCTAGTCCAATTAAAAAAAATCTTAACTTGCATACTAGTGATCTCAAGTTTGAACTCTCATGACAATATTAGTAGTGTATAAGAAACCTTCATCCCCTTATAGTTTAGACTATCGCTTGTATTAAAAAAAAAACAACTCCCTGTTCACCAAAAAGTGTAGGCTAACTAGTTTTGTTTTAATCCAATTTGTGCAGAGACAAAGCAAAGCGTTATGGTGCAGCTGAGAACCAGAGATGAAGGTTGCAAAGACAGAGACAGCTACACTTAATTATATAAGCCTTTTCAGCGATTTAGAGCTTCACTTTCGTTAGCTTAGCAGGGGAAGATTGAGATTGGGTTATGCGTGATTGTGTGTGGAGTGAATTTCTTCGGTGGTTCTTTAATTATATTTTCCGTATTTATATTGAGAAAAAAAAAAAACTTTCTTTGATATTCCTACAGTGATTTGTATTGTATTTATTGAGGATTTTCCTCTGTTCTTCTGTTTTTTTGGGTAAATATTGAACGGAAAAGTTTGTTACCGAAGTGTATATCATCTATTTGTTTATCATACCTTTAATGCTAAGGAGAGTCATCATCGCTAAGCAATTATCAAAACCAAAACGAGCATAATACGAGATTGTGTTCTATGCACATCAACAGCTAACAATCATTCACATAGCAATGATAGAATAATAGGTTGTGTAAATCATCAAAATAAAAAGTAAGGACCGGCCAAAAGATGTAAATTAAAAAAATTAAAAAAAATTAAAAAAAATTGGAAAGGGTGTACTAATTTGACAACAGATCTCTCACAAATGCGTATATGACAAAGTGAAGTCAACCTAAAATTGTACAAGATTTTAACTTTTGTTATCCAAATCCAAAAGGGATATCTTAACCTGTCTGTAATGATCCAAGCTACAATTTTGATAACTTCACATGTAACTCCAAATCTCAACCAGGGCAGAGTCTTTAAGCACATATGCAACATACTCTGATTCCACATACTCTTATTCCAAGTACAACCAAGATCATAACACGTAACACTAAAACCAAGTTTCTTAACGAACCGCCGGAAAGAGCAGGATATTGTGGCAATAAAACAGACACGACTGGATTATCAGATAAGATCGATATACATTTCATTAGCAACGGGGATGATTGCTTAACAAGTTAACATGGATTGTACCTAAACGGAGGATCAACTTCTCAAAGAAACCTAAGTGAGTTTGAGCCTCCACAAATTGCAACATAATGCAGCTAAACTGGTTGAACAAACATGGTTTCATGAATGTTTCTCTACCGACAGATACACTTCGGCTTCTATGTAAAAATGGTGTTCTACAGTTAACCGAATTGAGGACTTGTCTTATTGAGAGTCCCTATTGTGACAATTCATAACCCCCAGCACCACACTAAGTGGGCAAAAAAATAAACAAAAATGAAAAGGGGGGCGCAACAAGGCACTAAATTAGAAACAACAGGTGACCAAGGCTATGATCACTGATGGGTTACCGGCTTGGCTCTGATTACAGAACAATTTTTTATCAAAACCTACTAAATAGCATTTTAAGGAAAGCAACAACAAGGCAATTGGACAATCTTAGTAAAAGTGATGCGAGATATCGAAAGCGATTAAACAGAATTAGAATATAAGTGCTACAAGTACAACATCAAATAATAAGCAAAAATCTTGATACTGCATTTGTGTTATTCAAGCAATTCAAAATACAGTATAGACGATAGTGGAAGTATATTAAATCTGCAAAACTATATATATGAAGTTTTTTTCCAACCAAGCAAGTAAAAGCTAAACAGCAAAGCATCCCAAAATGATCGAGCTAACATGACAACCATAGGCTCATAATAAAAAAAACCAAAAAGCCAAAAAAAAAAGCATTTCTAACAAAATTGTAACATGCTCTTAATCAATAAACCCCTAACCTCTAGCTTTAAACCTGCCTGGACTTTTTCTCTATAGCCGCATCGCAATCCAATCACCTAGGCCTTAGATACAACACATAGACGGCAGCAGCCGCCACGGCAACAATGGCTCCAGTAGACCCTGCAACAACTGGCAAGCTCAATCCCTTTGGACCCGTCTCTCCGCCTTCCAAAATCTCCTTCATTTCATCCACAGTCCCATTAACGGCCCCAACAGTCCTCTCCCTCAATCCATTAATAACCTTGTTAGCCTCCACCACATCCTTCTGCAATTGTCCCATCTTCAGTTCCACGGCTCTGCACTTGTCCTCCGATTCCCTCAATGCCGCCTTGACATCGAGAGTCTCCTTCACTTTCTTCCCCAATTCAACACCGCTCTTGGTGATGACCGACTCCAATTCCTCAATTTTCTTCTTGAACAAACTAAGCTCATTCTCTTTCTCATCAAGTCTCTCCCTCATCTCCTCCTCAACCCTAATTCTCTTGCTCTTCTCCTCAGTTTCCTTCACTTCCAAAACCCCAATCTTCCTCTCCAATTCCCTAACCCACTTCTCGCTCTCAGCTTTGGCCTTCTTCAGGCTCTCAAGCTCTTTCTCCAATCTATCAATTTTCGCTCCTTTCTCTCCCAAAACACGCTTCAGGTCCGCAACTTCGTTATTCGCCTCCTCTACTTCGGCCATCGCCGATATCAGGTCTTGTTGGAGCCTCGATACCTCAGTTTCAAGCTCCATCGCTCTATTCGCAACCGATTCCAGAACATTTTTTCCCTCGTCGTTCCGTTCGATCTCCAACTCCATCTCCCGCAGCTTCTCCTTCGTGTCCTTCTCGCCTCTCTTCAACTTCTCGATCTCCGTCGTCAGTTCCTTGATTTTCTCATTGCTTTCTTTGTTCTCGCGCTCCAACTGCAGCTTCTCCCGCTCCAAACCCTCGATCTTCCGGCCCATTTCCGCCGTCTGATCGGCATCGTAGAAGGCCTCAGTATCGTCGACGATTTCAACCGTCTTCTCGTCTGCCATGTCTAAACCTACACGCGCACGCACGCACACACACAAGAACAGAAGCCAATCACAACCAGAAAATCGAAAATGCAAAATGCAAAATTCAAAATCGCATAAATAAGTTTCATCTATCAATTTTCTTGCAGTTTCAAACGAAAACGAGAATAATAGGACTTCAATGCTTCGAAGAAATAGAAATAGTATGAGAGAAAACCAAACCCGAAAGCAATCAGCAATGGTGCTTCTACTGATGAGGTGATCTGCGTGGGACGAGAATGTTCCGCGTAAACAGGGGCAGATGAGGGTGACGAGCCCTTAGGGTTTCTACTTCTTACAAATTTCCATCTTCTTTTTCCCTAGAATTACAGGAGGCATCGAATCTAATCAGTGATGAGGAACGGACGGCTGAGAGTCGTCGATGGTGCGGTGCATGTGCTAAAAGTTGTGGGACCCGTCCCTTTCTGATGTTGCTGATGATTTGAACCACTTGGGTGGTGGCCAAGTAGATTTTGCTTCTTGGGCTGGATTTGAAACAAACATCTAGCCCAAACTCGTCTATGGACACCCATCTTCAATCTTTTGAATTTGTAATATTCTTTTGGGTACCCAATAAATACTTACAAAATCTCAACCCTACCCTTCACTTGAAACTTAGTTAACAAAGTTGACAAAAAGGAACAATTGCAATGATTGGCCGGCGAGATCACTCACCTTCTTTCTTCCTCCATTTTTCTTTTTCTTTTTTAATTTTGTACCTAGAGTTCTCAATTCTTTCAAAAATATTGTATTATTTAGAGTTTTGAAATTTGAGACATTCTAGATAATCTGTTGCGTGCATCGCTTATGCGTGTGCGTGTGTAATTCCTAACTGTTGATGAGAAGTTTGATGAGTCGTATAATGAGCAATTATCTCCTGCAGTACTAGAGGACTCAATTGTTAGTTAGAATACCCTTGGTTTCGAGAAGTGGGTTCGCTTGAAACTGTCACTAAACGCTAAAGTAAGCTTGAGCCACCTTAGTAGTAACTCACACGCGCGTGTACTATTTTCTAACTGTTAATACATTTGAGGTGCACATATCATTAACGGTCAAAACTCGTCACGTAAGTTACTAACCTTAACAAATTCCTTTGATAGAATCTCTATCCAACAAATGAGGGCCTATCTTTTAAGCCATCGGTTGTAGAGGGAGAGGCCCATTGTGCAGTCTAATTATTGTTGGAAGCAAAAACACCCCACCCAAGCCCCAAGCAAAATGGAATGAAACATAAAGCACGGAGGAGGCAGGGAGATGAAAGATGACATGAAACATAAGAGAATGGGCAACGTCTGCAGTATTTTATTTGGTCGATTTAACTTTAAAAAAGAAAAAAAATTCAAAATTCCAAGTTTGACAGCCTTTTTTCCAGTTTTTGTTTGCAGGATATAGCGAGCAAGCACCTTAACACATACCATGAATGTTCCATGAGGGAGGACCACACCTGCCATTGGCAATGCGATCCATGGGCAGAGTGCTTTTCTTTTAGACAAGGCCACTTTTCCTTTGTTTCTTCTTCTTATCTATTTCTTAAATTCATCAGTCTGAGTGCAACTCTACTCAACCAACATGCACATTAACAGTTGCACTCAACTCAACCAACATGCACATTAACAGTCCACACATGCATGCACCCGTTGGACACAGTGGTTTCCAACTACCCATAAACTTTTGCCTCCCAAGTGGTGCGGTGCAATGCCTTTATGGTTATCTCAACTTTTTTTCAAATTAGTGGTATTTCTCTTATCAGTATTGAAAGACGTCTCAAGTTTAAAAGTTAAGATCTATATCTTAAGTTTTGAACGACCACATTTCATTTTAACGGTGCTCGTAATTTAATTGGAATAGTCTAATCAATTGTAATAGTTAGTCAACTTAGTTTAATTGAACACTTCAAATGTGACCTAACCACGTCTTGTGAGTCGGAATGAATTGTACTATTTCAATTAAATTAGATAAATATCATGATTGTTGTTTGATTAACTTATAAATATCATGATTAATTGTACTCTCGTCTAGAGAATTAAGACTCATATGAACTGGTTTGAATTCAACTCTAATTATATTCAAGGCAAACCACCAAACGAGAGTGGGGCATGAAGAGTAGAAGGGTTTATGATTAGATATATTATATTGGGTGAGATCGATTTAACTGATGACCTATTTTAGTTCTAAAGCCCTCTTCTGATAGTTCCGGGGACAAGATCAGGTATATAGAGAATAACTAACGGTTTGATTTGATTTCATCATCTGTTGCCAATAACCAAATGTCAAAAAGGGAAAATCCAGCTAGGTACTTTGACTAAACAAAGTATCATTAGACTTGCCAAGTCCAAGTCAAACATTGGAAGGTTGCACAAAGCCACAAGCGACGACATCACCAAGTTTGTCAAAATAAATCACGGCTCAACATCGTGGGTGACCAAAATAATCTTATCATGCATGATTCAAATTAGGCTTAGAAAGAAAAATGTCAAAATAAATCAAAACCACTTAACTAGTTGATGTTCTTAATGCATACAATGTGCCTATCATCGGTTGGTTTTTCTCAATTGAAAATTTCTTTCGTTTTTCCTTTATCATCGGTTATATACAATGTATATATCTCTTTGTTTTTCCTTTATCATCGGTTATATACAATCGGTTATGTACAATGCATATATCTCTTTCATCAAGTCACATACAATCGGTTATATACAATGTATATATCTCTTTCATCAAGTCACGTAATATGTAATTAGTAAAATAAAGTCGTAATAGTTTCAAACCCGTGGATATAATAAATTAAAAATTACGCATCAGTTCTCCATTTATCTCCACATGGTTACCTTTTCTCTTTCTACTTTAACGTATATGTAATGCTACATGAAAAAGCCTTCAACATAGATATATTATTATTGCTCAAAATTTATGTTCTTATCTTGTTTTCCAATAGATATATTAAACTTTATAAGGGGGTAATTAAGTCAAAATACCAATTAATTAAAAGCTACTTTTAGCCCTCATTAATAATGTTTCCGTATAAGATGCCAAAACCAGTACACAGCATTAACGTTTAGTCACTGAGAGTAGCTCACTAACCACATGCTAAACCACCTCAATCTTTTTCATTGGACACTAACCATTAGTTTCCTAAGTATAATTAAACAATCCAAATAAACCAAGAGAGATCAGACACCACCAGATGCAGCAAAACTATCATTATCTAATCACAACTCCTAGCCTTTCTGACAATCAGATTTCTGAGCCTCCAGTGCCCACGAAGTTCCTGTAAAATGGAAATAATCCAAATATCTCTCGATAGAAGAAGACTGTATATATATATATATGAGAAATAAAATTTCTACATCGATGTAATAAAAAGGCATTATATCATTTCTTTAGTACTAGAGAACTTGATCTTTTCCTATCCATTAGTTCATTACAAAAATATGAAAAAATTAACATTATAAGGAGGAAAAATAAAGAAGAAGAAAAAAATAAGCTACCCACTACTACCCAACAAAGAAAATTGAAAAAGAAAAAAAAGAGAGGACAAAAAAGAAGAAGAAAAAGAAGAGGAGATTTCATTGGTCTGTCATGGAACCATAATAAGAACCTTCCAAACTCCCAATCAGCAAAGAGGCCATAATTAATCAATCAATCAATCAACCTCCAAACTTCCTCTTCTCCTTCTCCAAACCTTCAACAAAGCTTGCAAGAGCTTTCATGGCTTTGAGCTGACCCTGCAAGGCCATTATGTAACCAGCAGTCTCTTCAAACAGCTTGTCAACTCCAAATGACTCCCCCCCTGGCACAATCCTCTGCAATGCTTCAATCTTCTTCTCCACCTCCTCCTCCTTGTCACCATCTTCTTCACCACCATTCTTTACATCACTGGGCTGATTAGTCTTCATGCACTCTTCCCTTCTCTGTTTTCGGGCTCTTCGTTGAGCAGACTCTGCTCTCAGTTGGTTAAAGCTGGATAAAGATTCATGCACTGCATTACCCATGTGAGATTTTTGCTGGGTTTTTCTTTGCTTTCTCTTGAATGTAGATTTGGAAACTTGGGTTTGAGTTTGAGCTTCCTCCATGAGTTTGAGGGGAGGAAGAACAGGGGAGGAAGTCTTTTGTGTGAGTCTGTGAGGGGCAGACAGAGAGAGAGAGAGAGAGATTGAGAAGGCAAAGGTGGGTTATGACTTTCTTTGTGAACTGAAGGGAGGAGGAGGTATGTATGAGGTTGGCGTTAAATTATTGTTGAGCTCCAGAAATGTCAATGCCAACGAAGCTTTGGCCCACTAGTTTTGGCTTCCCAATCCCTTGTTTTGGATTTGGACTCTAGTGCTTTTCTTCACCTCTCTAATCAAGCGCGTTGTCCTGTTCATTAAGGTTTCGACACAAATGCGATGTAATCTATTCCATCCTAATTTACATAATAAAAAAATCATTTAACTAGCAGTGGCAGATACATGAATTTTTCTCAATCGAATAAGGTAAAGAAGTTCTCATACGTTTTTCAAAAGAATAAAATTCATACTACTAAACTAATAATTGATTGCTTATTCAACCTCTTAGAGGCATTTTGACAGGCATTATACTCTGTTCCCCACTGCTATCTTAATTATTTTATCTTAATGATAGCCTAGTAATTGAACAAAACCAATGGAGAATAATTTGTTGAGTGGGGCCAACAACTCCCTCTCATCCCTGCTTAGGTTCACTTATGTTGACTAGTGTGATACATAATAATTTCGTAATTGTCACGATTAATACGTTGGCTAGTGTGATACACGATAATTTCGTAATTGTCACGATTAAATTAGGTCTAAAATATAATCGAATAAGATACTACAACATTAGTTGAAATCTTCTCTTGTATATGAACAAATAAAATATTGTTAATACCAATTAGAGAGTAATAATAATAACGATAGAAAAGCAAATGGGGGAAGGAAGAGGCGAACGCGCAGGAGGAGGGGTGGGAGGAGACTCTCCATGGATCAGGTGTGGATAGGTTCATGTGAAATTACAGTAGAGACTAGAGAGCAATGTCAATGGGCTCCACAGTAGAAAACAAAGGGAAAGA